GCTGAAGCCAGCACCTCCGAGCCTGGGCATCAGCTGCAGCGCCCATCACTTTCCGGGCGCCCACTGCTCCCTGTTACCTCGGACCTCAGTGCACGGGCCTGCTCACGTGTGGGAACTCCGTGTGAGCGTCGTGGGAAGCAGAACAGACATTAAAGTGATGACTTTCAATAGGCGCTGTGAAATGAGGGTGAGGCTGATGGCCGAGGACAAAAAGCAAGTTGTAGAACAGAACGTGTCCGGAACCGTGTCCGTCAAGGTCCGTGTCTATAACGTGGTGACATCACCCACCTGTACATCTGAGCAAGGTCATCTCAAGCACCCCGGCCACTGCTCCCTCCGTTTTAAAATGAGGAGACTGCACTACATCGTTTCTAGATTTAAAATCCCCTAAATTTGCTAAAGACTTTACTCATTCCACGAACACAGAGTTCTTTATCATGTGCCAGACACTGCGCTGGGCCGTGGTGGAAGCAGTGAGCAACGGCCCTGCTCTCCTGGGGCTCGGTTCCCAGGGCGGGCGGCTGGGCAGTAAACCCTCACAGGTGAGCAGGCGAGGGGGACAGGAGACGGTGGGGAGTAGAATCATTGAAAGATCAAGGAGACCTCACTGATAGGTGACATTTGGGTAAAGTCCATGATGACGTGTGATGACACGTCTGTAAGAAAGAACATTCCAGAAACGGAATAACATTAACCCTGGCAGAAGTATGATCAGTGTGTTGAAGGAAGCACGGACCAGGAGCAGCCGAGGTGGAGGCATGAGGCCTGAGAGCGCTGCCAAGGCCTGAGTTTCACTCCTCAGTGCAAGGGGATGCTTTGCATGGCGTGGCGCACAGAAGTGGCCGGGCAGCACTTTAGAGGTGGCTCTGGCGAGAACAGACCTGCGGGAGGCTAGCAGGCCTGGAGGACGGAGCCGAGCTGCGCTCGGGTGCTGGGCTGATGTGCAAGTGGAAGCAGGGGAGAACCAAGATGGCGGCATAGGTTAACGCCGGAGTTCGCTGCCTCGCACAACCACTTCAAAAGTGAAACTAAAAGACAGAACGGACATCACCCAGCACCACAGGAACGCTGGCTGAGTGGAAATTCTACAACTAGGAGGAAAGAGAAACGCATACCAACACTCAGAGGAGGCGCAGTGCTGAAGTCAAACACTGAGGTGCAGAGTGCGCGGAGCAGGCTGGTGGCGGAGGGGGGGG